CCCACAGAATCCAAGTATGTCCTTTTCATGGTGTTTAAAATTAAGTGTGCTGGCGTGCGTAACTTGTAAACTGATTTTCAACTGTGTTTTCTTTTAGGTATATTATGAAATCATTTAACTTCTATATTTTCCCCAAACCCTTGAACAGAACATCACCAGATGTCAAGTTTGTCTGTCAGGTATATATGTATTTCCCCCCTCTGATTCCAAAATAATAGAGAATCCAAAGCAAAATCTTCCACAAATGCAGTGCTGCAAATTGCATGTTTTATTTACTGTTAGGAAGGTTGATTATAAATTATTAAAAAGAAGTTTTTTGTTAAAGTCAGAAGGATTTTGTCAATTTGAGAGAAAGTTTCATAAACGTGAAGTGGCTGCAGCGTAAAGTATTTTTTTCTTCGCACTCTCAGTACTTCTAGCCTGATGTTGGAGAAAAGGAAGGTAAATTGCCTGGAAGCTTCCTTCAAGGCCAGCAGTTTGAATTGTAACTGGGAGATTGTAATTGCTTTGTCAAATGAATAAAATATATATAGTCCACCGTGAATTAGCATTTTAGTAATGAAAATTAATTTCATTAGATTGAAATAATTTGTAGAATCATTTATAAAATGTTTTTCTGTTTTTCTTTTAGAGCTCAAGTATAGATTTTTTAGCAAACCAGGGATTTGATTTTAATAAAGTTTTTCGAAACGGTAAGCATTTCGTAAACATTTTAAAAGTAACTTTGCATTTCTATAGCTGTAGCTTCAACCTCTTTCTTTCCAATTTTGTGCAATCTGATCATGAAGAAAATCCTGTTTCTGTAATTGTGGTTAAAGTTTAATTCCCATCACTGAGAATTCTCTCCTACCAAGAGAGTTAAAAATGCTACTACAATGCATCTGGGGGAAACCAGGATAGGAAAGGATGACTAGATGCCCAGATGGTTAAATTGGAACAGTTTTAAAACAGAACTTCATCTGAGTCCACCCACCCACCCACTCATCCCCATCTTCCCCTCCTTTTTCTAAGGTATCCCTTACTTAAATCAAGAAGAAGAAAGACAGTTACGGGAGCAATATGATGAGAAGCGCTCTCAAGCCAATGGCCTGGGGGGCTTGGCATATATGTCACCTGGTGCTGCCAAGCCTCCATCAGCTGTTCCTGAGGATCAGAAGAAGTTCATCGAGAAAGTTGTGTAAGTGAATATACAGTCTCCGCTTGGAGAAGAAATCAGAACCCCACTGGTAATTGTTGCGTTTAGGTTTTCAATTATTTCCTTGGCCAGACAAAAGTTTTGCCAGGAAGAGGATCCTCCTCCTGTCGCTGTCTGACAGACTAGAAATGGATTGTCAGCTTTTCTCATGCAGTGAGGGCGGCTGATGGAGGCTGACCACCGCAGTGCGTTACTCTGGAGCCCTTTCAGCTACAGAGGCCTGGCTTTGGGCTCCGGCATGATCAGGATGTGGGGGTTTTAACTGGGTTCAGGGCCTTCGCAGGTGTGGTGCCCGCAAGAGGCCCGTCCATCTGCATTTGTCTACTTAGACTCTATTGATGCTTCGTTTTTGCTGATGCTACATTTGTGGGGATTCAGTTATACTGGTTCCTTCCTCATTGTTTTACCCACTTGCCCCATTTACGTTGAATTTCTGAAAGTACTGACTTAAATAGTGATTTGCGATAATGTACACAGTGTGGATCCATTAATAGTAAAACTTGCCAGCTCTCCCATTTGGGAGAACATGAGCCATTGTGCACTAGCAGCGGGACGGTGGTTCTGCCTTGCTTGGGCTGGTACTCTGCTGGTGGCAGACAGCCCTCCCCATTGTGGGAAGAGGCCAGCCAGAAAGAAGACGCCTTCTGCTTCTCTCCCCCTTTTCAGAGAAAGGATAGAAGACCTCCTGCAAAATGAAGGAAACACCACCGTGCAGCTGGAGCCTTGCACAGGGTTTGTTCCTCCGGGTCTCGGGCAGAGCGTTGAGTAGAGGAGGTTGGCTGGGCAGCAAAGAGGAGGAGGAGGAGGAGGGGAGATGGCAACCTGAGTCTCTTTCTCTACTTCTCTGTAGATTTCAGAGGAAACTAATCTACCAGACGCTGAGCTGGAAGTGAGTAATGCTGGTTGCTACAAGGAGAAGTAGCTGAAGCAGCCTTCTCCGCATCTGGGGAGCCACAGCTGGGGGTGCTGCGTTCCTTAGAGGGCAAGCTCCCCGTCTCCTGGGCGGAGTTGATGCAAAGCTACTGGCCAAAGAACCAGGCCGCTGAGTCTGCTTTCCCTTCGGGCATTTCTTTCCCCTTCACCAAGCATGGAGTTTACACTGATGTTTCTGTTTCTGAAGTTATTACCAAATGTGGCATTTTCTTGATTATTTTCTTTTCTGCAAACCTAGGGAGGATTATTGTTAATTCTTCTTCTTTTTTTCAATTTCACCATAGGTTTCCAAAAGGCATCCATGTTGAAACTGTGGAAACAGAAAAGGTGACTAGTTCTGCATTTTCCATTTTACACCTTGGTAGGACTGGGATTTTCCAGGCATCACCAGGAGAGTTTCGGCGGGCAGGTGGCAGCGGCTCTTTTGGTGGCCTGATGAGGGGCTGAGCCCTTACAAAAGAGTGGGATGGCTCATGTGCTTCTGAACCTTGGAACAATATTTTAAAGGCCTGCTGCCCCTCAGCTATGCTGGGATGGGAACTTGCAGGAATCCCAGCCGGGGAAAAGCATGTGAGGAAGTCAGATTGATTCTCCCTCCTCCCCCACCCAGGAATTTGACGCACGTAGCTGTGTAGGAGCGCTTGGTCATTGTGCTCTTGCTTGCTTGTGCCCGCATTAACCTTTGTGGCTCTTAGAAGGAGCGATTCATGATCATCAGCAAAGTGGACGAAGAGGAGCGCAAGAGAAGAGAGCAGGAGAAGCAAGCGAGAGAGCAGGCAGGTGCCTCCGAGGCCTCTGCTGGGGCAGGGACTGCCTGGCTGGGCTTGTGGAAGCCTCTCATCTCCAGCGGGAGAGGCTGGTTCGCAGGGACGCTGGGCTGAACCCGGCAAAGGACTCACCCTGGGCTTCTCGCTTGCAGGAGGAGCTGAAGGATGCGGTGGGGTTTTCCCGAGTCATTCACGCCCTTGCAAATTCGGTATGTTTGTTGCCTTGAAATTGTGAGCAAAAGTAGGCCTGCCATCGACAGCTGACGTTGGCCAGGAACATTCTCAAACCCAGCGTAGCAAGAGGGGAGGCCGGGGGGGGGGGGGGACATGCTCTGCCTCTGCCTGAGCATTGGGCTGGGTTTGCCTCTCTACAGGGCAAGCTCGTGGTTGGACACAACATGTTGCTGGACGTCATGCACACCATCCATCAGTTCTACTGCTCCCTCCCCGAGGTTGGTGGATTCTTCCTTGCACTGAGATCTGCTTTTCCTCAACATGCCCTTTGCAGGAAAGTCACCTCCTCCCTACTCACCTGTCTGGGACACACCTAGACCGGTCGTCCTGGGTGGAAGGTGGGCACCAGCAGCACCCCGTCCTGGGTCCAGCAAGGATGATGCTCCACTTCCCAAAGGTCCAACTAGATTGGTCTGGGATGTCAAGAACTCCCAATGTGCTCCTCCCAGGAGTTGACAGTCAAAGGAGGACTGCTTCCCTCTGCGACCTTCTCTCTGCTCTTCCCTGGAAGCTTGCTAGCTTTCCTAACTTCCAAAAGGCTCTAATTAGAGTTCTCTTAAGCTGGCATCTTCAATGTAACATCCAACCTTTTCTTTGGCCTTGCAACCTTTGCTTTCCTCAAATAAATTGTGCATTGGAGCAGTTTACATCATCTCTTTCGGTCTCAACAATCTGATTCCTTTTAAATTTCAGGATTTCAGTGAGTTCAAAGAACTAGCAACGTGTGTCTTTCCAAGGTGAGTGCTTCTGTTTGCTAGTATGTAAGAACACAAGCTGATTCGGTTCAGTCGTCTGTTTTCTCAGTGGCCCTCCAACTATCCAAGGAGCCCCCCCCCCACTCCCTCCAGCAGAGAGAGCCCCTCTGCCATCAAGGCTAAGAGCCATGGATGCCTACAAGGAGCTGTTGTCTTACTTAAAATATCGCTATAATCCTCCTCTTAGGGAACATTCAAACTTAGGGTCCTGCTGATTCTTCATTGTAACCATCTTATTTCAGGCCTGCCACCCCTAATACGTTTTCCAGAATTTGTAACTCTCAAATCTGTTTTACAGGCTATTGGACACTAAATTGATGGCAAGCACTCAGCCATTCAAGGTGGGACATTTGCATTTCCCGTTAAAGTAGCATCATTATTAGCAAAGTTAATGAAGTGAAATAAGACTGTTTTGCAGCAAAGATAATACGCCATTTTTGCACCCAGTGAACTGCCTTTTCCAGGCCACAGAATCCTGTCCTCAGGAGCTACGGCTTGCCAGAAGGCAAAACCGCTAAGCACAAACGGAAGCTACCATCACCTGGGGAGGGGGGTGTCCTGGAAGGTCCCGAGTGTCACTTTCTGCCTTCAGCAGGAGTTCTTG